TGTGTGGGTCCCCTTCCCCGATGGCTGCTGCTGTCCCTGTGGACCGTTGACCCGGTCCTGGGGTGTGGACCTGCAGAGGCACAAACGAGGCCAGTACAGCAGTGGCCACGAGGCACTCCCCTATCTCCTGGGCAGTGAGTGCTTCTAACTCCTGCCTGAATCAGCGACCTGCTGAGTAGCCCATGTGTCGGCTCCTGTGCTAAGTCAGAGAACATCTTATGGAAGGGGGAGAGTGAGCAGTCTGTTACGGTGTGGATGTGAGGGTCCCCCAAAGCTCACGTGTGACACAATGCAAGAAGGTTCAGAGAAGTGACAGGTTATGAGAGCCTCATCCGGATCAGTGAGTTAATCACCGATGGGATGAACTGGGTGGTGGCTGGAGGAGGTGGGTCCCAGGGTGTGCCTTTGGGGGCACATATTGTCCTTGTTGAGCAGAGCTCTCTCTGCTTCCTGGCTCCGTGTCCCCGGCCACGTTCCTCTGCCATGCACCTCCGCCATGATGTCCTCAGGCCCTGGGGGATGGAGTCGGCCATCTGTGGACTGAGATCCCTGAGACTGTGAGCCCCCAAAACCTTCTCGTCGTTTTTGTCAGGTCTTTTGGTCACTGCCAAGGCCAATGTCTCGGCTTGGCACCAGAATCACGAGCCACCACACAGCTTTGCAGGTTCAAACAGCAATTCTTTATTCCCGCTCTCACACCGCCTCCACACAGGTCCAGGGACAATCGCCTTCTGCCGTCTCCCGCACAATTCACCTACTCCACGAGGCTATCTCCAAATCCCATTTTAATCTCACGAGAACTCAACGGGAACAAGCAGCAGGAACACCCTAATCCCAGCAATAATCTTCAACCTCCAACTTCCCTAAAACCCATTATCTTAAACTGGCAACGCCTTAAACTCAAGGAGCCGGTTACTTCCTCAAACCTGATCAGCTCTAAACCCGGATCCGCCTTGGTCCTTGAGCAAGGTCACCTTATTAAAGCATGCATGCAATGTCCCATCGAATGTCCTCTAAGCAGCATGGGGTACGCTTGGAAAGGAAATTTTGATGCGTCATTCCTACTTGGTAATGGCCCTCAGCAGGTCACAGCAGTGAAGAGCTGACTGACACAGTGTCACCTCCGTGCCAGCTATGTACTAACTGGTTCTGTGTATTAAAACTTCTTTTCCTCATGAGCACAATGCTGCAAGAGTTAGATTAAATATGGACATTTGGGGGGTTTTGAAGTGATCTTGAAACAATGGTTCCTCTGTTCTGTGCTGTCCTATTTATGCAGTTGGAGGAACTGCACCAGGAAGGAATCGCAGGCAAGAAGTGGGCATTTGCTTATTTCACAGTGATCTGATTGGATATTACTCTTGGCAGGTATTCATGGGAGGAGAGACGAGAGCAATATGTTAAAACTGCTGCGTAAACTGACAATAAGAAACGCACATTCGATCACCGCTCTCAGCTGCAAGACCTTGTGTTTCCCAGATGTTCTGCCTGGACCTCACCACCCACAGCCAGGGCTGGTCCATTCCGACCTCTGCTCCCCTGCTCCTACACGGCCACTGTCATTTGGAAGTGGCTCCCAGGTTCAAGGAGGCAGGGACGTGGCTCTGTCCCCGGAGGCTGGCTCAGATCTGTAGCCTGCATTTTCAGGTTCCAGACCACCTCCCCTGCCTGAGGTCCTCTCTGCACAGCCGAGGGCGAGCCTCAGTGGCCATCTCCTTCTTGGTTCATTTTTTAGTGGGTGTTTTCCCCAGGTCCTGGTGTCCTGCCCTGCACTGCCCCCTCCTCCCGGCCTGTGTCTGGTGGAATCTAAACAATGACAAGAGTGTCACCAAGCCTAAGACCTTGAACTCTTCAAGCTTGGGCCAACTGTTTTGGAAATCAAAAGCCTTTTGTTTCTTTTGCACTTTAAAAGAATATTTTAAAATACATGTTCAAGAGATCTAAAAAGACATTCCAAATTTTGATTACCAAGATTGTTTCTCAGAGGCTGGGAAGGAGGAATGTCAGGAGAAGGGAAGGAAATGGCGTCCAGATGTGGGAGGAACACTCCCGGGAAATGGGAACAACGGTCTCGGGCTTTACGGGAGAGGGTGGTGCTCCAGGTCAGGACTGCCCGCCTGAGGGGCACGCAGGACAGAATCCAAAGCCCTCATGGAGCCAGGCGCGTGAGACCCCTCGCTTTTCTCCATCTCAGGCTTCTCAGAGACAGTGAGCCGATGAACCGGGCCTCTCTGCACACACATGTCCTCTCTCTGCCCTCCTCTCTCGGCTTCCCACTCTCACAACAGCAGCTGAGGCCCACACCCCCCAGCACCGTGGGCTGCTCCGGCCAGAATTCCCAGGGAGAACAGGACGCGGAGTGTGTCTGATGCCTCCTGGTTCCTCAGCCCAGTTCCATGCAAGAGAGCCCCAGGGACAGAAGCAAAGGGCATTTCCCAGAGGGCTTCACCTGTGGCACGCCACGTCAGAGCGGGGACGCCGGTGAGGTCTCCAGAGGACCTGTCAGATGTGAGTTTCACTCAGCGTCCACCAGCGCATGGAGGCAACTCTGGGAAAGCTGTGTGGGCTGCCCACAGTGAAGACGTGCTTACTGAGTGGGACCACAGGAGCTGGTGTCAACCGGGCTTCAGTGTCCCCAGCTGGAAGACGGGACAGGAGAGCCGCAAGTTCTGGAAAGATGGGTGAGGTGGGCCATCAGATCCCTTGACTCGTGTAACAAAGCCTGTGTGGGTGGTTTCAGAGAGGAGGTCACAAAACACGAAGAACCAGCCAGCATCTCTCAAACTCTGAAATGCATCTCTGAGTTTTTTAATTGAAGGATCATCATTTGGCTATTTGGGATCCTGAAGTTATGATTTTTTTCCAATGTGTTCTAACAAAAATCAAGAGTACATAATCCATTTTAACCCTAATCCTTTCAGGCATGTTTTAAAAATTAATCTAGACCTGATTATAGAGTAATTTAATCTAGAAAATAATCTGCTACAACTGTTTATAGATTCTGAATAGTTTTCAATTCACAGAAACATTGAAGCCATGATCTTACTAATGATCTTACTATCTCAAGTTGGTGTGCATGCACCCTTAGATTAGAAACACTCTGTGTCTCTAAAAATAACAAAATGGCCATTTTTTTTTCCACAAATTTGAAGTGGTCCGTTACAGGCAACACACATTCTTAAGGAAATCTGAAATGGTCTCGAAGAATGTGTTGCCTGGGAATGATAAATGACACAAAAAATCTATTTCTTTTTGGAAAATAAACCTAGAGGATTCTTTACACATCACTGGTGGTTTCTATTCTGGTTAGGGTGCCGGAGTCTGGACAAAGCCACAACTTAGCTGTTTGGCCATGAGGAGGTTTTACTTCTCTCTTGGGTCTTTCTGTTTTGCACTTGAATAGCCAGAAGGTGAGCCCAAAGTCCTGAAGACCCTGCCTCCTCTGTGGCATGGGCCTCCTGGGCTGGGGGACTGTCCAGGCCAGGTCGGGCAGTCAGACAGGGGGTTTCCTTTTCTACTTCTTTTGTTAATTAAGAACAAGTTTTTCTTTCTTGCCTCTAGTGTACCAGAATTTTCCTAAAACCTAAGCACTTTAGTAAATACAGGAGCTAGGTTTACCCATTCATCAATGATAGAAATTCACAATGTGCATTTCATTTTCCTAAGATTTAAAAATGGCAAATTTCTCTGGGGCCATGAGAGAATTCTCACATTGACCCAGACTATGAAGGAACCCCCAGTGCCGCTGGCTGAAGAGTAAAAGCTTGGTCACCTGGACCTGGCCCCCTCCCAGGGCTTCCCTGTCATTAGGCAATACTGAGCCAAGGCTGTCGCGCTCAGGAGCAGCGATAATGGGTGGACTCACCACCCAGCATGAGCACCCGGCTCTATCAGTCATGTGAGGAACTGGACAGGCTGATCCTGCCCCCAGGCCCCGCGACTGCAACTTAGGCACGGCATCTGGGTTGTGGTCAGTTTGAGTCTCTTCTTCTGGGGGCTACCTGCGTGACCCTGGGTACGTGACCTTCATCTTTGAAATCTTCGGGTGCCACCCTGTTGTGCAGATGTGTCCATCTCCTGGACTGGCGTGCCTCTGGGCTTTCACACCCCTCATACCACGGTAGCGTGGTGATTCTACCCTACAGAATGCTGCTCAGGAAAATGGCACCCGAAAGGCCGGGCCAGCACCAGGGTTAGTGAGAAGGGAAGGGTCACATTGTCCCCACTGTGGTCACAGGACCTAATCAGCTGGGGACTCTACAAAAGATGGCAAAGGACATCTAACAGCACCATTCAGATCTGTCACCCCGGGGTTATGGATGGGAAAAGGAGATGACGGCAGTAACAGAATCCCTGCAGTCAGATCAGCCAGACGCGGCGACTTCCAGACCCTTCTTGGTCCCCGCGACACCTGGGGATTTGGGAACAGACCCCTGGAGCAGGGGCAGCTAGCACTGCCTGCTGTGGAACTGGATAAACAGTTTCCGCTATTAGTTGCCTAGATTGCATCTGACACCCAGTTGCTTTTTGAAAAGCCACAAAAACCAGAGATAAGGGCAGCAAACTGTCCTTGTTATAAAACAGCAGCTTCGCACGCACACGTGCTCTGCTCTAAGTCCTGGTTGCTGTTTGCTAAGTCGCATCAGCTAAAGGTCAAAATGATTGTTTTGCTAAGACTCGGGCAGATGGAAGGTGCTAGGGACATCCTGGTCCTGCACTTTGAGGTGCGATGTGCTCTGGGTCGCGGGAATGTCTGCTACTGCTCGCGGGTGACAGGGTAACTCAGTGCTCGTGGCTCTGACCATGCACAACTGCTGACTGCCATTCAATGTGGAAACACACACGTTCATAGCTCTTCCAGGGCCAGTGTAACCCTAGAGACACAGCGTCCCCTTCTAATCGTTGAAAAGGGGGCGATTTTGGTGCCAAACTACAGAAAGGCTCAGTTTTAGAGTCAGATTAGAAATTGGATACGTCAGAGTCACTGCTCGGGAAAAATGGACAGTACGTAATCTAATATCTTTAATTTTATGTACACGAATATAATGTGTGTGGACTTTGTACATGAGATACATACAGAATTTAAACCTCTTACTCAACAAATAAGAATTTACAATATTAATATGTAAATTACTAGAGGGCTGTCCACTTAAGAATACTTAGATTAGATCTGTCCTTTAACAGCAAAAGAATTTAATAGTTTACATCATAGAAACACTGACATTTAAAACAAGACTTTATAAAATAATTTATGTGTATATATATATATATATATATATATATAAATCTCCTAGCGTCTATAGAGAGGGATGGTTTGCCTTTGTGGATGTGTGCAATGAATGGCGTACTTTAGACTTTTAGGTAATAAAATAATTTAGAAGCAGTTCATGCAGTGGACAGAGCGAGGGGCGGCAGTTTCTCCCAGGCGGGCTGTGTCTTGGACGTCCAGCCATGTTGGACGCACACGAGGTGACCTGGGGCGCTGGAGCAGGTCTCTCTGCTGCTCTGTAAACATCAGCATCCCTGGCTCTCCTGCCTTCGGTGGCACAAGCACAGGTGACGACTTCTCTCGGCTGTGGGAGCTGTCAGTCAACAGGTAACGTGACTTGGGGTCCCTCCCGCGGGACCTAGCAGAGCCTCCTGGTCTTAACGACTTTACTCTGGTACTTCACGGAGTGCCCACCGTGTCCGATGACGTAGACGTCCAGCAGGTAGGACTTGCCGGGCTGCAGACCTCCAACGGTCTCTGTGGTCACCGCCTTCTGCAGGTTCTGACTGTGGAAGTACTTGCAGAGGACCTTCTCGGACCTGGGCCTGGTGTCCGGTCCCAGGCACTGGTTCTGCTCTCTCTTCTTCTGGTCTTCGCTGTAGCTGTCGTCCACCTCTTTCCTGTAGATGCAGAACTTGTTCCTCTCCTGCGTGCCCAGCCAGGCCACTGTGGCCGAGGAGCAGGTGCGGAGCCTGTCAAAGGCTTTGATCCGCGTGTCTTCGGGCAGAGAGGGGAAGTACTGCTTGCCGGGCCTTGTGGTCGCCAGGATCTTCAGCACGGAAGCCCCTTTCTTGTTTCCCTTCAGGCGGACCAGGTACTTGGCTTTAGGTTTTCCTCTCAGCTGGAACTGCCGGATGCCCTCCACATTCTGGGACAGCAGCAGCTTCCCGTCTCTTCTCACCTGGACCTGGACAGCATCCAGGCAAGAGTGGATGAAGAAGGTCACTTTCTGGTGGGAAGAGACAGGCGCAAAGCGGAGAAACTTGGCCCCCTTCCTCTTGACAAACACGTCCATCACCTTGCCGTCCTTGAGCTCCAGGGTCTTCTGCTTGGCCTCCCCCTTGGTCCTGGCAAAGGTGCCCACGTAGGCGGTGCTCATGTTGGTGTTGGTGTTGACCACAAAGACATCGAAGTAGTGCTGCATGTCCGGCTTCAGGTCGGAGACGGTGAAGATATTCTTGCTGCCTATGCAGACTTTCTGAATGTCCGCCTTGGGCCTGGGGTGCACGGGACGGCCCAGTTTGGGAGAAGCCTTTGCCAGGAAGCTGCGTTCTTTGCCCAGGTGGTCGGGAGGAAACCCAAAATGGGCAAAGTCGAAGGGGCTAAAGTCGAGACCAGGTTTGGGGACCATCATGAAGGCATCATCCGCCCCCAGCTTGGCTTCTGCTGCACAGAGACTCTTGAAATTGTGCTCTTTGTTGATGACCACGCAGTACTGGATGGGCTGATTCAGCAAGGAGGCCGTGGGGCTCGGCTTCCAGGCCAGCGTGACGGTGGTGCGCCCCAGGGAGGTCACGTCCACCCGGGGGTCGTAAGGCAGCTCTGGGTAGGGCTGGTCCGACTCTGGAGTTGTGGTGGCATACACTTTGAAGTGCGTGTCTTTCTCCGTGGAGAGGAGCTCCAACTGGTATAGACCCGCGGGGGAACTGGAGGAGGCGAAGGACTCCACGGCGTTGCCCTTGTAGGAGAACAGCTCTGTGCCTTCCTCGTGTGTCATCTGCTGCCTCTGCTGCTCGAGGGGCTCGGAGTCACCTGCAAGACAGGAGCAAAGCAGGGGCTACAGGTCACGTGGTCTGTCGGCCCTGGACTGTGCACAGGGTTCTCACCTTGCTCTCCACGACAGAGAGAGCACACACTCCTCACAGAGCACTGAGCCGGTACACAAGGGGACACAGGGAGGCCGCCTCTGCACCGCCATGGTCTACTCCATGCGTCCTTCTCCCAGTGCCCGAGTGCAGTGGGGGTCACTGTCTCCTAGTTTCTCCAGAGGTTAGTAAATTGCTTCTCATGCACAAATGGATCTAGACGAACCACTAGTTTTTGCATCCTGTTTTCCTCCTTCAATATGATGTCACAAAAAATAATATGGTTGCTTGATGTGTGGCCATGATGAATACCACCTTATCAAGTATTTGGCTTGTATGGATTTATTTCTTCAGCAGAAAATCTAGTTAGGTATAGATCACCTATAATTTTTTAGGTTACCTATAATTGTTAGGTCCAGAGCTTCAAACTTGTTAGAGACAGTTAATCCTGACCATCAGTCAGCTTGCCCACAGGACAGTGAGTGTGCCATGGGTGTGGGCTCAGCTCGCTGGTCTCACTGCCATCAGCAGGAGTGGACAACCCCATTAAGCCAGAAAATCAAGTACCTGTCCGAGCAGCCGAGGCTCAGTGTCCAGATGTGTCGGGAGTACCAAAGCCACCTGACTTGGCCATCCTTTGACACTGCTGGCCTGTGCCAGGGCCTGATGAAGGCCTGACCACCAGCTCAGGAAGGAACCTTGTCCATCTCACCGCAGACTGAAAGCCAGACGTGTGAGATTTCACGTTCCCCCACTCTGCGAAGGACCCGCCCAGGGCAGCTAAGTCATGGCATCTGAGGGAGAAACCAAGCCGGGGTAGCTTTCAAAGCCCCGGGGGGCCTACCGTCCAGGCAGACTGCAGTAGCCACCGGGGCCAGCAGAGCATGCCGGCAGCTTCTCCTGGCTCCTTCCTCCTCTCCCTCCTCTCCCTCTCCAGCTGCCCTGCTGCCTGGCTGCACCATCTCCCCAGCCCTCACCAGGGCTGCTGCTCACCGGAGCTCTCCCCGCTGCCGTCCTCGGGCAGCTCCTGCAGTCCCAGCCTCCACTCCAGGGGCGCATCGCAGGGCGTCACCGTGACCGAGAGTGGAGTATTGTCCTCTTCCACCACAAAGAAGTACCTGGGGAAGGGCAGACCAGACGCACCGTCAGCAAGTACAGGAGACCTAACGCCAAGACAGCGAGCCAGAGGAGCCTCCGTTCCCGTCACCCTCGACTGCGTCGCAGGGGCTTAGCTGGGTGGCCACCAACAAGGGGGTGACACCAAGCCCCAGTGTGGCAGACCTGCCCTCCTGAGACGCTCGCTCCTGGCTCTACTGTCCAACCTCGGTGGACAAGGGATCACATTTCAGAGACAGTTTTGAAAACGAAGGTCCCTGTCTGACAGTGGGAGGACGCACCTCTATCTTTCCTTGATCACGAAAATTTCCTGTTCAATTAACACACTGATGATTTAAACAGGATTTTAAAGACACGCGGAAAAGTCTTCCCCTGAGGGCTGTTGGCAGGTTTTTAACGGGGAATAAAGATCACAATGTTGCCCAGCTGTAAATGCTGCGTGTCCTGCTGCAGTGACCCTAAGGAGCTGCTCACTGGGTCCACGGCAAAGGAAAGTGGGGTTTCCCTCCTGTGCACGGCGGCGGTGCTGAGGGCCTCTCACCTCCCTGCTCTCTGTACGCACACCCACCTGATGTCCAACACCTCAGCCCCTGCCCACTGGCTCCCCTGCCCACTGGACCCTCACCTCTGCACCGAGCCGGGCTCTGTCTGCACACCCCTTCTGTCTGCCATGCCCATGTGACCTCACCAAACCGGCTTCCCTCCTGTGTGCTAACAGATGTGACCTGCCAACCTGAACCTGAACCCAAGGTACAGC